ACGGGAAAACAGCTCAAGTAGTTTTGCGCGTTTGACAGTTGCTCCGCCGCCCATCCACCCACACTCATATAAACTCGTTAATGCGTGTTCTTATCCGTTAATATTATCCCATTAATTAATCTGAGAAAACTTTTAAAAGACAGTTTCTTTTGTTTCAATGACATAATCGATAAAAAAAATATCAAAGAAAGAAACAAGATAATTTCTATCTTTTTTTTTTGTTTCTTTCTTTCTTTAGATAATTTAGTTCGGATTTATTATTTTATTGTTATTTCTGTTTTTTTTTTTGCTTTTGTTTTTGTATGTATTATAAAAAATTTTATTTTGATTTGATCAATATTATTTTATTTAAGTGGCAATACTTTTATTTAAATATATATTAAATAAAATCAAAAAAAAAACGTGTTAATTTATTGACACTTATATAATAATCAATTAAACCATATGTAAGTGAATATCTTTTGTTGATTATTGTGTAAAGAATAAAAAAAAAAAAAAAGAAGAAGGACAGAAAAGAACACCTTTATATATTCGATTAACTATGCGGTTTTTCTTTTTTTGACATGAATATGACTATTTCTATTTCTTTTATATTGTTTTTGGCTGTCATTCAAAAGAGCGTAAAGTCAATTACAATTGTGATGTACACACGATTCATTCATTCATTGAATCCCGCCTTTACATGTATATACATGTGAGTTCTCTTTTCCCGCGCTCATTGACTACTGAAACCCCTCTCAAACACACACACGAACAATGAGACGATAGAGAAAGAGAGATCGTAAAAAAAACCAGCTGATTGTCAAAAAAAAAAAACCAAAACAAAACAAAACTAATCAATCGACAGGTCGTCAAAGTTATTTACATGTTTATTCGACAAATAATGACAAATAGATTTTAATATGATCTATTAACGAATTAATAAGAAATGTTATCTTTTATATATTCTAGATCAGTTGATTATGTGCGACAATCTTTCATTGTATAAAACATATATTCCGTCACCAACAATACTTTCATCAACACAATCAACAATAATGACTCCACAATTTCATCCTATGAATAATGATGACGATCAACAACATCGACCATATATGAGTATCAAACGAAAATTTTCAGGTATATATATATATATATATATATTAACTAATGAAATAGATTCCATATTATTTATAATATTAAAATTGAATCCGATTAAAGATATGATTTATATGAATTCTATAAAGTATTATCATTTTGTTTTTTCAAGTTACCATATGCTGATATTTTATCTTCAAACAGCTTAGTATGATTAGAGGATAAGAATGATATACTGAACCGATTGTTGTTGTTTTTTTTTAATGTTAATTTTGGTCATTCGAGATAATTCTTGAATTTGAGAATTATCGAAGAAATATAGACGAAAATATTCATGATGATAAGATGTATGTTTTCTTTTTTCGTATGATAAAGAAAATTTTTGTAATGTCAAATCGAAGATTTATTAGTAAATCAAAAAATAAATAAAATTATCATAATCTTAAATATCATCGTTTAATTATTCATATCTAAAATTCCATAGAAAAATAAATATGATGAATGTACAAAGCATAGTTAAATTCTACTATGTTTGTACACACAAGAAAAAAAATTCTTTGATAAAATGAATCAGATTATTTGTATCAATAGATAGAGTCTTTATAAATAACTAAAAGAAAAATTGAAATATCTTATTAGTAGAAATTCATCTAACGATTTGAATTATTCATTTTACCAAATATTTCGAAACACTTTGCGATGATTGTTTCTAAACAAGTATTAATCATATATAGAAATTATGGATAAATTATTTGTATAATTTTTTTTTATTAAAGTTCGATTAAAATACAATCAGTATCGAAAATAAAGTATGTTCAATATTGTATTTAATTTAAGACATAAAAAAATTGATTATATTTCGTTCTCGACTTTGTAATATTTTTTTTTCTTAATACTTATATCGAAAATATTCTCTCTTATAATTGAATCCTATTTTAACGAACGTTATTACCTAATAATATTCTGATTTTGTATTATCCAAAATCAACAAAAAAAAAAATACTCTAATTCTTTATGAATGATCATTGATTAAGCTTTTTGTTTATTTTTATCTCGAATAATTTCCTCATTATTTTTTAAAGTTCTTATTGAATTTCATAAAATAATGTTTAAATAAAAATTTAATGACTTCTCTCGATCTTTTTTTTTTTTTTACTTTTCTGACTTGATAAAATACATCAAACAAACGCGCTTTTATGCATTGAATGCGTGAAATTTTTTTAATAAAAAAATTACTTTTCATACATTGTTACGGTCAAATCTAAAAAAAACGAGTAATGAGCTACATCGTTAAATGAATATAAGCATATATATTGTCTTCGTGATATACTATACTAAAAATAATATTAATAAATATTAAGATTAGTTCAGAATATTTAATAATTAGTATTTTGTTCAGCCTAAGAACTGAAGAGGTGGCATCTATCTAAAGATCTGGAATTTAGGTTTATTGAAATACCTACGATATGTCTATGCTCGTAAAAATAGATCAAATACTATGAAGAATTCAATTTTAATCTTTTATTTTTATTTATTTTTTTTATTCATTAATTTAGATTATGAAGATAATAATTCGTCATTAACAACACTTGAACATGTTTCAACATCATTTGATTGTAATAATAGTGATGATGAAGATGATGAAGATGATGATGAAGGTAGTTCAGGTGATGATGAAACAATAAGTGATGATGAATCAAATAATATACATTCAATAACACGTGTAACAACACCTTGTACAATAACACAACGACGTCATAGTGATACAAATCATCCATCATCATCATCATTATCATATGGTACACCAATTGTTAAACGTCGATGTACATATTCATCAATGCATGATGATGAACAAAAACGTTCTGTACTTGTTGAATCATATCGAAAGTTACGCGGTGTAAAAAAACCTAAACTTCAAGTTAGTTTACTTATATGTAATTTAATAAAACGATTAGAAAAAACTTTTACAAAAACAACACCACCTCTATCAAGACAACAACAGCAACAACAACAACAACAACAACAACATGTACAGTATTATCAACCTCGAACAACATATCGCTCATCATCATCAGATAGTATTTATATGTCAACATCATTACCATCATCATTAGGTAATGATGAAATTGAAACAACAACAATAACACCAATAAATCAACAGTATTCTCCACCACACACATCAAATTATGATTCAGATAATGTATTATTACCTGTTGGAGATATAAGATCATCACCATCAATGTATCATCCATCGTCAACTGATGCATATTGGCTTGCTCAATCGAACTTTGCTATACCTGTTGTATCAACATCAGATGATGATGTTGATGTATCATTACAGGGTGGTGGTGATTATCTTGATTTAAGTGACAATACTTTAGCGTCTTCCTTTTCATCTTGTTCTTCTTCATCTTCTTCTGTATCTTCATCTTCTTCATCTTCAACGGAATTAATATCATCATCAACATCAATATCAAATGATTGTTGTTGTTCTTCAGCATCATCGACGGCAATAACAAAACTTCTTGTTGATACGAATAATAATAATAATAATAATGATGATTATTATGTTTATCATCATCATCATCATATTCAACAACAACAACAACATCATCATCATCATAATCCTGCTCAAATTCATTCTAATCAAGATTTACATTCTCATCATCACTCATCATTAACAGAACAAGCATTTTTTTATCATCATAATGGAAATAATACCGTTGATATTATTACAACAGCGTGACATACTTTCTTGTTCTATTCGTATCTATTTGTTGTGCATCTATTTCTTATTTATTTTTTTTTCTGTCTCTCTCTTCTCTCTCTCTCTCTCTCTCTCTCTCTCTCTCTCTCTCTATTTCTTCGATCTGAATTTTCTTTTCTGCTATTGTCAAACGATAAATCTCTTTCTTCTTTCTTACAAATTGAAAACAAACAAAATGAGTGCATGTTCAAAGGCATGTGTATGTATGTAAGACAAGAGTATTGTCTGTGGTATTGAAATCGTATATAAAAACTTATGTTTTTTTTTTTTTGTTTTTGTTGATGTTGTTGATTGTTCACAATTTTTTTTTCTCTTTCGATTTGTGCCTCTGAGTTTTGTTTTACAAACTCTCTTTCTATCTATTTCTTTCTCTCTCTCTCTCTGTCTCGATCTTTTTTTTTCTATGAACTTTTCATTATAATGATTAAAGGAGAAGAATGGAAAAAGACCAAAAAAAAAAATACTTTAATTTATCTAGATCGATTTTTTTTCTACAAGTAGCTATTAATAAATGAGAAAGTTAATAAGGAAAAAATCTATATACAGAATAAGATTGTTTTTTATTATTGATCTCAATCTATTAAATGACATTTGAAATATCAGAAAATGTTCAAAACAAACTATTTGCATATTTATTTTAGTCGACATCACTAACTGCGCATAGTTAGTTATTCATTATTTCAAGATTAAATATTTTGTTTTAAAAATATCTCTAGAGAAAAAAACAATCGAGAAAATGGAATATATTTTTCAATTTTAATTTTCAGTTTGCATCCATCGACTCAAAGCGCCATCGAGCTGATATTATAAGCTATTGGACGGTTTATCTTAAAACTATTGACAGAAATCCATGTTTTCGTTACCTTCCTTCCTATGCTCTCTTTCATATAAATACACATATCTCCACGCATATACGTGAAAAAAAAAGAACGAGGAAAAAGCCATAGAGGAAAAATCTGTCAACAACAGAACAGTAGTAACAATCAAATAGGTCGTCGAACGTTGTCGACGATAGTTAATCGTCTGGGTGCTCTATCCTTGCTTCAACTAGACAGTTGAGTTGTAAATAGGTCTTACCTTTTTTTTATTCTTTCTTTGAGATATGTTTTATAACCGGTGATTTATTCTTTAATATGTAATTATCTGATCAGCAGCTATGGCAGGATTTCACATGTCATCTCTTAAACCTAATGAAGTATCAGCTAATCTACGATCAGGTACATTTGCATTGAAGTGGCCAGAAGAGACAAATAAACCTGTGGTAAGAAATAATTAGTTATAAATTTAAGTTTATAATTAAATCAATTTATTTTATTTAGATTCCAACTGCCGTTAATCTGTCTGTAGATGCCAAAGGTTTCTATTTGATTTGTCTCAATAAAGTCACTAAAGTGTGTATAGATATATATACATAAACATTTCGTTTGAGAAGAAAAACAAAATTATTTTATTATTATTTTTTGTTTTTTTTGAAGGAATCGGAATGTTTTGATATTGCTTTAATTCATGACACTCGAACAGGTTCCGATGCATCACTTCCTCGAGTAAAAAATTCAAAATAAGAAAAATTATTTCAAATAAAAAAAAACAAACGAAACATTTTCTCATATTTTCAGGGTGCTACTGAATGTGAACAAATGAATATTGGCGTAATGGATGTTCCACTTTCATCAAAATGGCTTACAATTTATTATGGAAATACATTTATACCTGATCGTGAATTACGTATAATTCATTTTTGTTTTCATTCACCAACTGTTGCTCGAGTATAGAATTATTTTTAAAGAAATTTATTAAAAAAAAAACAAATTCTCTTTTCTATATAAAAGGAATGGACTGAACAATTATTTCAATATGGACATAATCCACTTCTACGAAATTTATCTAGTTTAGATTGTCTTGGAAAATTTCATTCGAGAATAGTCAATGGTCTTGTTGATGATCGTTTTGATAAAAAAGCAATTCCTGTTCGAAAGTATTTATAAAATTTTTAGCTTTTGATTTTGATTTTGATTTCATTTATTTAGTTTAATTCAATTTCTATGTAAAAATACTCGTGATCTTAATAAAGAAACAAAAATTCTTAAAACACTTGAATTATTAGAATTACCATGTCGAATGGTAAATAATCGATAATGATTAATTAAATTTGTTTTTTGCAATAGTTTTATTTTTATTATTATAGGAAACTGTTATTGATCCTGATCAATTTACATTTAATAAATTTGTTCGTTTCTACATGCAACTTATGGAACGTCATGAAATTGATAAATTATTTGATACAGCGTAAGAATTAAATTATTATTGAAAAATTTTTTTTGTGAAATTTATTCATCTAAAAGATCTAAAATTGATGAAGACGAAAGTATTCTAGCCACATTACCGTAAGAATAATAATTCGAATAAAAAAAAAATATATATGTATATATATGTATTCATATTTATTCGATTGCGATGCACGCTGTTTGTTTCTTTGAAAACTATAGCATGATATTTATATTTATATAGCATTAATATTTTTGTATTTAATAAGATATTTATAAATATTATTATTATTATTATTTTATTTTTGTTAGGGGTGGAAAACATCGACGATATCTTAGTTGGGATAAAATCAGAGATTTTATCATTAAACAAAATGATGCACGTGGTGATGCATTTGGTATGGATTATTATGATCAAAAAGCTAAAGATCTTGTTAAAAAATATACACAACATGATGAACATTTTATACACAGAGGTTAAATTTGATGATTTATTTATTTATTTTTTCGTTGTTTCTAAAATTTTAAAAACTATTATTGTTGTTATTATTTTCTTTTGGAATAATAGGAATGTATGATGAATCATTTCTTCGATATTTACTTAGTTTTGATAATTTAATTGCTGATCCTGCAAAATTTGATCTTTTTATGGATATGGATAAACCTTTAGCACATTATTTTATTGAATCATCGCATAATACATATCTGACAGGTTTGTTTGTTTGTTTGTTTGTATATAAGAAAATAATATTTTTCTCTATGTTAAATCACTTTACATCTAGGATCACAATTAACCGGACGTGCTAGTATAGAAATGTATCGACAAGTATTATTAACTGGATGTCGATGTATTGAATTGGATGTTGTTGATTCTGAAAAGAAAAATGATGAACCAGAAATAAAACATAGAAATACACCTGTTCGTTCTATAAGATTTCTCGAAGCTATTACTGCTATTCGAGAATGTGCTTTTAAAGTTAGTCCTTATCCGATAATACTTTCACTTGAAAATCATTGCAGGTTTAAAATTTCAAAAACATTAGTTTTCTTTTTTGTAATCATTTTTGCCTTTTTTTTTTGATACATAGTCCTCGAGCGCAAGCTAAAATGGCTCAATATTTAGTTGATGTTTTTGGTGATAGTCTCATAACTCAACCACTTAAAACTCATCCAATTGAAGAGAATTGTCCATTGCCAAGTCCTAATGATCTTAAATATAAAGTTTTAATTAAAAATAAAAAACTTCATCAAAGTATAAATTTACAATCAACTAATCTTAGCGCACAAGCATCTATTCAAAAAACAGATTCAATAACAACAAGTATCAGTGATCAAAATGTTGGTAAATGTCCAACACCAACATTACCTATTCGATCATGTAATACAAATCGATTAGGTGATTGTACCTACCGTGGACAAACAATACTCAATGAAATACGTCTTGATTCTCAATCGACTGATTTTGACTCACAATTAATGAATGATAATAATCGAAATGGTGTTATTATTGAAGAAGATGATAGTTCATCATCTGATGATGATGTTTTAATAACGCCAAGTAATGATATAGAAACAAATGATTTAAACATAAATACAAATCCTACAGAAATTATGATGTCTGGTCAAGCAACAAATATTGATGTTCTTGTGGAATCAAAAGCAACAAAAGCAATGTCCGATCTTGTTCATTATATTGTCCCAGTACGATTTGTTACATTTGCACGAGCAGAAGAACGTAATCGAAGTTATGAAATATCATCATTTGTTGAAGATAAAGCACAAAATTTAATTCGTGAGTATGCTAGAGATTTCGTTGCATATAATCAACGACAATTAAGTCGAATATATCCTCGTGGTACACGTTTTGATTCAAGTAATTATAATCCATATTTATTTTGGCCAGTTGGCTGTCAAATGGTTGCATTAAATTATCAAACATTAGGTAAATAAAAACAAAAAAAAAACAACAGAAATATATATTTATTTTCAATAATAAATAAATCAATTTTGTTTTTAGATACACCAATGCAAGTCAATTTAGGTTTATTTTCATTTAATCGTGGTTGTGGTTATTTAGAAAAACCATCATCATTATGTCAATCAACAGGTTCATTTGATCCAAAAGGTCGAACAAATGTTGAAAATGTTGTTGGTTATCAAATTGATATAAAAATTATATCTGGTCAATTTTTATGTCAAGATCGTGAACCAACATATGTTGATATTGAAATGTATGGATTATATGCTGATGCAACTAAACGACATGAATATCGTTTACGTGCTAAACGTTGGAACGGTTTTCAAGCTGTTTATGATGATACGGATGTTGAAACGGGTGAATTTTCAATTCGATTTACTAAAATTATTTTACCTGAAATGGCTGCACTTCGTTTTGCTGTTTTTGAAGAAGATGGAACATTTATTGGACAAAATTTTATACCTGTTGCTCATTTACGTCCTGGTTATCGTCATGTTGTATTACGAAATCAAATAAATATACCTGTTCAATCATCAAGTTTATTTGTTTATATTCGTAAAGATGTTCATGTTGATGCTGAAAATAAAGAATTAATTGATCAACTTGTATCACCAATATCTGTTCAAACAGTAACTAAAGATCAACAACCAAAACATATTACATTTAAACGATTATCGGAACAACGTTCTCAATCAGTTGGAGATATAAATATAGCAAGCAAAAGTTCCGATAATGAAATTAAACTCTATACTGATAATAGAGATAGTTCATTCAATGATTCTCAACGGCCTTATTTTTCATCAAGAATAGATATTAATGCTGTTCCAACTGGATTAGAAATGAAACATAAAAAACGTAATCAATCAACACCAATGGTTGATGCTAATTGGTATCAAAATCGATTAATTTCTTCGAGTCAGTTACATGATAATACACATTTATGTAAACAACTTTCATTACATGATGTTGAAGAAACTAAACCATTCAAACGAAAACGAGAAGCTATTCAAGCTAAAATACGACGTGCTTCAATTGAATATGACAAGGTATTAATTGACAGCAAAGAAGAAAAAGAAAACAAGTCGATTTTTCGAGATTTATATACATTCTGATAGTCCTTGCAATAAGCTTTAACCTAGCATAATTTTTTTATCAAACGAAGAAGGTTACTTTTTTTTCTGATAAGTTTTTTCGGGAGACTCCCTAGCTAATGAATATGAACTTGTATTGTATGAAAACTTTTGTAGCTTTATAGCACGAAAATTAATTTCGTATAAGTTTTGATAACGTTGAATTGATTGCGTATATTTGGTGGGGGAGAGGAGGAGAAGAGGGAGTGCAGCTATGGCTAAAATAGAGGCCTCGTCCTCACTCACACTCTATTTCACGTTTACGTATAAGGAACCATGGCCACAACTTTAGTATGATATGTACTTCTAAGAGCAATATGATATATCTGCATGTACGCTATCTAATAAAGCTTGATGAATAGTGCGAAAATATAAGGTGATATAAGTAGAATTAATTCTGAATAGAGATACCTACTAAATCGAAAACATTGTTGTTCGTATTTCTCAAAACCTTGCCTGCGTAAAGGACACTTGTAAGCAATGAATTGATTATAACTCGTAAGTATTTTGAAGATATATTTTATTTATAATCTATTCTAGTCAAGACTAACATTCTCTGATGCCGGATGAAGAATAAAAAGTTTATTTCGATGGGAGACCCTTAAATTTTAAATATTAACGATTATTTTATTTTTTTGTTGTGAAAAGCATTTTTATCTTAATTATATAAGCTACGTTTTTTGGCTTCATATAGAAAATTCAAAATGAAGAAGAACGATTTCAAAAATGTCTCCATCGTCAACAACATGGAAGGAGTACAGTGCTTCAAAAACCTATCAATTATTGGGCTACTTTAGAATTGAATATGGCCAATCGTTCATATACTGATAATTGTGCATCAAATTTAATTCATCAAAGATTTATCAGTGATGTGAGATTATTTTATTCATAAATTTAATTATATATCCATTCAAATACTTTCTTTTGTAGGAAGTAAAACAAGCTGAAACGCGATTACTTGATCTTTATTCTACTAAATTCCATTTACAAAATGAAATAGAATATAAATTATCAAAAGAAGTTCGTTGATTTAACCAATTTTTTGTTTTTCGCCTACAAATAAATTTTTATTTTTTAGTATTATAATGATTTAGAAAAATATGTAAATGATTATTATGCTAAACAATTACAACGTATTCATTATATATTTAAACAGTAAGTAAATAATTAAAATATAAAATAATGTTTGTTTCAATTGAAATGAATGAAGCTTTATTTTTTTGTTGTTTCTTACACAAATTTGACAAGCATGTCAAGGTGAATATCATTCTTTTTTCATTTCTCTAGCTAAATAAGTTTAAAATGCTTGCCACTTTTTTTTTTGTCTATTGCGTAAGTAAATAAAATTCCAACCGGTTTCATTCCTTTCAAATATCATCAATTACCATACATTTCGTTATTTTTGTCTCACTGCTTATATAAAAAATGTTTTGTATGCAATTGAACTTTTCTAATTTCTTTTATTTACTTATATATATTTCCCTATTTCTTGATAAATGAAGTTTTGTTTTGATTTCTATAAGAATTAATATTTATTATTGATTAAAACACTTTTTGTTTTTATATCAGTGAACAATCAAAAGTAAAAGGAGATGTTCGAGTACAAATGAAAAGTGAAACAAAGAAAACAATGATGACTGAAACGGATAGGTAATTTTGATTTTTTAATTAATATTTTATTTTTATTATTCATAGTATTTTATAGAGAAAAAATTGCTACTTTAAAAGAAAAAATTCGTCAAATGAATATTGAAGCTGGTGCTCTAGCAATTCGCAAAGTAGATAGTATTGAAATTTGTTTTTTTTAAGTAAAATTAATAATTATTATTTATTTTAGCTTCAAGAAATGCATGAAAAATTAGAAAAAGAAATTCAATTGAATTTACAGACAACACTTCGACGACTTCAGGAAGAGAAAGATTTAGTTAATTGATCAATTTTTACTAAAATTTCAAATTAAGTTTTGTTTTTTTTTTCTTTAGGAAACAAAAAATCGTTTTGCTACATATTCAAATCAACTTAATGAAATAAGATTTCGATTACAACGTGATATATATGGTACTGAATATTATGGAGTACGTGATAATGCTACTCAAAAATTATATCGTTCAATAATAACGTCAAGTGCTTCACTTTCTGCTATATCTGATCATCATCAAATACCAATCACTTCATCAACGTTTACTACATCAAAACCACCATCAAATGTTACGATATCAAATCAACCATCTAGACGACAAACTGTAGATAACATGCGTATTATAACTAGTCGACCAGATCCCGAAGAATTAGTGTGCTATATAAATGAAACAACTGAATCAACCCGACTTTAATAGAATAATATAAACTGTTTCTTCTAATTCATTTTTCTTTGTGACCTTTATGTAAGTGTTTGTGATTTTCTTCCTTCCTCCAATTATTTTGTTTATTCGGCTTGATAATTAAATTAAATGGAACTCTATTGTGTGTGTGTGTGTGTTTTCTCCATTTCCTCTTGGTTTTCCGGTATATGCCTGTATGGAAGAAAAGCAATGATTTGTCTTTCGATTATTTAAACTTTAAATATGTGCGCATGTAAATATATATTTAAAAAATAAATTCTAGTTCTTTTTGTTTTCATGGTCTTCTGTATGATAATGACATTCTGTCAAATTTCCATATAAATAATGATTGATCACATCATTAATCCATAATTAATCTTTACCATTTCTTGATCTAACAAAAAGGATTCTTTATTGCCATAAAATATTTTCTACGTTACAAAAACATGCTCAAACACCGAATTTGTTTTGCAAGTAACTAGAAGACTATAGAATCGCGAAATTGTATCAGTTACAACTACGTCGCATTCTTGGTCACGCTCTAAAAAATCTATAAGAATATGATTTCAATGGGTTAACTGTGTACTCCGTAGCTTCGGAAATAAATTGAATAATCATTTAATTTTAATCTTAACAGGAACTCCAAGTGTACGTTCATAGTAAAATAAGGCGCGACCTCATTGTAATCAGGATGACTGAAAATCAATGCCCATCCAGAAACTTTGATAGATGTGTCATTGACTGAATGTTGAATATTGTGAATTTTTACAGAGAACAATTATTCCAAGTGTTTTCGAGCTGCATACATGAAATCATTCTTATCGCTGTAGAAGATTTTCATAGGAAAATAATAAGCGAAAAGGGTATGGGTTTGATTGAGGTTTGGTTTAAGAGAACATTCATACCAACTATTTTGGTTGTGTACAAGGAAGACTTTTATTCTAATTTGATTTGAAGCAATTGTCAGTAAAGGATTTGGAAATCATAGTCTGTCGACGTTTTACTTTTCCTTTTCATTTTTTTATAAATATTATTGATATTATGATTTCTTTTCTTTTTCTTAATCCATATGCAAATATGTAAATGAATATAAGTATATATTGATGAAACACCGTCAGACCGAATGACGAGTTTATTAATGAGCATAGTGGAGGAACATAAACAAAACGGTATATTTTTTTTCCAACTCATCAAATTATATACTGCGTCGAGCAATAAGGCAAAAAATAAAGACGAAAATAAATATCATGATGAATATGTCAGGATTGAAGGCATAGCTGTATTGAAGCGCTGTATAATGAATAGTTCTAAGTCACTCTAAGATTACTTTTTGGGTTTTGGCATCAAAAAAAAAATATTTGCAGAAAGGAAGATTATTTTCATTTGATCTAAAATATTTATGATGTTTTTGATAGTTAATATCTTAAACTTTTGTTTAGTTATGATGATGTCACATTGAAAATTATTCCAACAATATTGAATTAGAGATGCGTCATAGTCATTTAATGATTTAATAACATTATCGATAAACAGACAAAGAGATTGTTTAGTAAAATGTATTAGGAAAGCATAATACTTGTTTAAATATATGATATAGAATCTCGATAACTCAATGTTATTAAGAACTAATTAAACAAAATAAATATCAAACCACAACGATCAAGGTGTGATATATTATTTCTCTTTCTTTAATACTAATGAATATTTTTTGTAGAATATAATAGATGAAATCATGTCACTGAAGTCTAATAAATTCCTGCTACTGTTATCATTACAATTGGCATTGTTATAAAATATATATAAACAGTATGTGGTAGTTACAAAAATAAATGACGTGTTATTAAATTCATTATTTACAATATCAGCAGTACTATCATGTTTTATATTGCTATTCCGTACGAATTGCATTAGCAGCTTTTTCTTAAATAATTGTCATCAAAGACTAACTATTTTCATTTTTATTAAGCAGTATTTGTACTTATATAACAAAAACAAAATTTTCTATTCTTTTGAAAACTTGTAAAAAAAAAGAAAAACAATTAAATTTAATACTATTTATTTTAAACAATTCTATCTTACATAGTAAGAAAAAAAAATATTATTCAACAATATTTAATTGTACATAATCAAGTAAAATATTACGATAACAATATTCATTTTTTTTTCTGTTGCATTCACAATCAAGACCATGATCAGCTAATGCATAAAAATAGCATTGGACACTTTTTTCTGATTCTGGAATTCGACTACAATGTTCATTGTAATCTGTTAAATATTCTTCATTCTTATCCAGTTGAATACGACATATAATTTCATATATTCCAGGCCATATTGATTTGAATTTACCTTTAATACCAACTAGATATCGAGAACGAACTGTATATAACCGGACACATCGATCTGTTGAACTTGTTAAATCATCTTCTTGTTTGGGATTTAATCTATTAGTACAATTTAAATGATCCTTTGAACAATGTAAATATATTCTAAACAAATTTACAGCTAGTAAACGTTTTAATTCAATTAAGTAAAAATAAATTAATTTATAAAATGATATTTGTAAAATATTTTCTTTAGTTAAATAATTATTTCTTTTAAAATAACAATTAAATACTTCTTCTATTGTAAGAGACATTCGTAAATCATTTATACGTGGACGGTTTTTTTGTTTCACTAGACTTTTATAAGCTAAATAACCATCAATACTATCTTTATAATTTAACATATTGAATACCCATGTAATACATACAAGCACTGATTTATTTATTTCAAAATACTTTTCAAATTTTTCTTTGTCTTTGTTCGTACGATATAAAACATAATCTGAATGCTTTTCGTTATGAAATATTTCATGAACATAACGTTTATATAATTTAAAACCAAAATGATTTTTAATCAACATCATTTGACATAATTTAATTCTCTCCTTTTATTTATTTTTAATTTAATTTTGATTTGATTTGATATTGTAGTTTATTTATCTAAATTTTAAATTAAAATTAAATTAAAAATAAATAAAAGAAGAGAATTAAATTATGTCAA